CCAGGCAGACGTTTTCTTTTGTTTCGTTAATTACCAAAACTTTGTCTGCTTCAGCCCATGGCCGCCATCTTGGCAAACCTGCATTTCCTTGTTCAAGAGTGTGACAGCTACTATTTGATTTTTACAGTAGACTTGTTAGGATAAAATATATACATATATACTCATAGTTGCATAAATTTATGCTTGCTGTTTTGTTTCCTTTTGCTACATTATTCAAGTGTAATAGTTACTATACGATTTATAAAAGAATTAACGATAAGGTATTAGCTTAATAGGATATAGCATAGTATTAAAGTCCAATAACTAGATCATATAAAAATTAAAGTTTAGACATATGAAACATATGAATTATAGTAAAGTTTGGTAGTTTAAGAATAAGTTTTAACTGAGTTATAAGGCATTACGTTAAATCGTAATAGGATAATAGTATAACTGACAGTTAAGTCATTTAACTAAACTTATAGATTATAGTATAGTGTTAAGTTGATAATATTAATTGTTAAAAATATTGGGAATCAGTGAACTTGGATTGAACCTAGAGTTAACTCAGGAAAGTTTTTTGTATTAATCAGGGTATAGAGCAAAGAGTATAATATGAATGATTCATTGAACATTATGGAAAACACTTTGAACGATTTGTATTGAAATTGTGCACCTGTGACCTTAATGTAAGCACGGCAGGCATCATGGAATTCGAATTGTTTGCTTGGAAATTGCAGATCTCGTGGTGGTCTTGTGATGCATAGTTTGTAAAGCACGGAACTTGTACACCCCCAGTGAGTGATTATCACACTGCTGGAGGGTATAGAAAATGGTATATAAGTTGGAAAAGGTTTGAATAAAATCGGCTCCAGTCCTGATCAGACTGTTCCCAGAAGAACTGCCTCCGAGTAGTTTCTTCTCGCTGTCCAGATTCTCTGGTGTGGGTCCTAACCCACCCTTGGTCAGTGCTGGTCACTGACAACAGATTGCTCTAATTTTTTTCTCTTTCATGAAATAAATCTCTTTTGGGAAAATGATCTGCTCCAGAATCAGTACTTCTATTTCTCTCCTTGAAGCGGCACAACTTTTCAAACTGATCATATCTGCTTATTTATTGTTGAATTTTCACAACATGTCTCCCCATTTCAAAAGAAGGCCTACCTGTCACCTCTTCTCTTACAGGATGCACTGCACCGAGTCATGGACACATCCCAGGGGACAAAAGGACTGAGTGATATACTGGTAACAGTAAAGCCTCCTTGAGGCACAGCTTTCTGGTAGAGTTGTACTTTTCCCTATCTCACACTCATTGCTATAAAAGGCAAAGCATGGCTTCATAAATAAGCTATCACAGTTCATACTGGAATGTCTTAAGTTCAGACACTGTGTCTGATGGCAAGGATGATTAAAAATTCATTTAGTAATTTCATATCCTAGACCACTGTGAAAGAAAGCACATGAGAGGCAAGCAAAGAAGGTGACGAGGAATAACAGCCATGGCTGTGGCCCCAGAGCTACAAAGTAGGTGTAAAGCCACTTCAAATCAGGCTGTCCAGCTGGGACCTTGAGGAAGGGGAAGAAAGACAAAGAAAAGAGAAAAATGGAGAGACCGTGGAGATGTGAAGCCAGTGTGAGCAGAGCTAGGAAGCAGCCTACACACAAGCACCACAGAGGTGGGCAGGGCAGCAAGAGGCCCACAGCAAGGACCAGGATAGGTGGGCAGCACTCAACGGACACAGGGCTGCAGACAAAGACATGATGTCAGCTGTTATACAGAGATGCTGAGATTTGGGGGAAAACACAAACGTAATAAGGAAAGCAATGGATGATTAGGCGAAAAGAACCAAAGGGACACCAATTACTGGAAAACATAAATCCAAAATGAAAAACTCACTGGATGTCCTTAACAGCAAATTAGACACTATAGAAACAGAATTTGAAATTCTCTAAAATGAAGTACAAAAAGAAAAGTTAATGAAACCTTGTGACCCGGTGGAGGCATAATTTACATGCAGAGGTAATAAGCAAGATATATAATATATAGAGACTAGAGCCCCAGAAAAGGGTCACAGAAATATTTAAGGAAATGTTGGCCAAGCTATGTCTAAATTTGATGAAAACTATAACTCACAGATCCAAAACGTTTAATAAACAGCAAATGAGATTAAAAGAAAGAAAATGGGCCAGGCGCAGTGGCTCAAGTCTGTAATCCCAGCACTTTGGGAAGTTGAGGTGAGAGGACTGCTTGAGACCAGGGGTTTGAGACCCGTCTGGGCAACTTGGTGAGACCTTGTC